TAGTAGGCTTGCCTCAGTGCTAGTAAGGGTCAACAGGCTTGCCTCAGTGCTAGTAAGGGGCAGTAGGCTTGCTTCAGTGCTAGTAAGGGTCAGTAAGCTTGCCTCAGTGCTAGTAAGGAGCAGTAGGCTTGCCTCAGTGCTAGTAACGGTCAGTAGGCTTGCCTCAGTGCTAGTAAGAAGCAGTAGGCTTCCTTCAGTGCTAGTAAGGGTCAGTAGGCTTGCCTCAGTGCTAGTAAGAGGCAGATGGCTTGCTTCAGTGCTAGTAAGGGGCAGTAGTCTTGCCTCAGTGCTTGTAAGGGGCAGTAGGCTTGCCTCAGCGCTAGTAAGGGGCAGTAGTCTTGCTTCAGTGCTAGTAAGGGCAGTAGGTTTGCCTCAGTGCTAGTAAGGGGCAGTAGGCTTGCCTCAGTACTAGTAAGGGTCAGTAGGCTTGCCTCAGTGCTAGTAAGAGGCAGTAGGCTTCCCTCAGTGCTAGTAAGGGTCAGTAGGCTTTCCTCAGTGCTAGTAAGGGGCAGTAGGTTTGCCTCAGCGCTAGTAAGGGTCAGTAGGCTTGCCTCAGTACTAGTAAGCAGCTTGCCTAGTAGGAGTGTGCATCAGTGCTAGTAAGGGGAGTAGGCTTGCCTCAGTCTAGTAAGGGGCAGTAGGCTTGCCTCAGCGCTAGTAACGTCCAGTAAGGCTTGCTCAGTGCTAGTAAGAGCAGTAGGCTTCCTTCAGTGCTAGTAAGGGGCAGTAGGCTTGCCTCAATGCTAGTAAGGGTCAGTAGGCTTGCCTCAGTGCTAGTAAGAGGCAGAAGGCTTGCTTCAGTGCTAGTAAGGGGCAGTAGTCTTGCCTCAGTGCTTGTAAGGGGCAGTAGGCTTGCCTCAGCGCTAGTAAGTGGCAGTAGGCTTGCTTCAGTGCGAGTAAGGGGCAGTAGGTTTGCCTCAGTGCTAGTAAGGGGCAGTAGGCTTGCCTCAGTGCTAGTAAGGGTCAGTAGGCTTGCCTCAGTGCTAGTAAGAGGGAGTAGGCTTCCCTCAGTGCTAGTAAGGGTCAGTAGGCTTTCCTCAGTGCTAGTAAGGGGCAGTAGGCTTGCCTCAGCGCTAGTAAGGGTCAGTAGGCTTGCCTCAGTACTAGTAAGAGGCAGTAGGATTGCATCAGTGCTAGTAAGGGGTAGTAGGCTTGCCTCAGTGCTAGTAAGGGGCAGTAGGCTTGCCTCTGCGCTAGTAACGGTCAGTAGGCTTGCCTCAGTGCTAGTAAGGGGCAGTAGGCTTGCTTCAGTGCTAGTAAAGGGCAGTAGGCTTGCCTCAATGCTAGTAAGGGTCAGTAGGCTTGCCTCAGTGCTAGTAAGGGTCAAAAGGCTTGCTTCAGTGCTAGTAAGGGGCAGTAGGCTTGCCTCAGTGCTAGTAAGGGGCAGTAGGCTTGCCTCAGCGCTAGTAAGGGGCAGTAGGCTTGCTTAAGTGCTAGTAAGGGGCAGTAGGCTTGCCTCAGTGCTAGTAAGGGGCAGTAGGCTTGCGTCAGTGCCAGTAAGGGTCAGTAGGCTTGCCTCAGTGCTAGTAAGGGGTAGTAGGCTTCCCTCAGTGCTAGTAATGGTCAGTAGGCTTTCGTCAGTGCTAGTAAGGGGCAGTAGGCTTGCCTCAGCGCTAGTAAGGGTCAGTAGGCTTGCCTCAGTACCAGTAAGAGGCAGTAGGATTGCATCAGTGCTAGTAAGGGGCAGTAGGCTTGCCTCAGTGCTAGTAACGGTCAGTCGGCTTGCCTCAGAGCTAGTAAGGGGCAGTAGGCTTGCTTCAGTGCTAGTAAGGGGCAGTAGGCTTGCCTCAGTGCTAGTAAGGGTCAGTAGGCTTGCCTCAGTTCTAGTAAGGGGCAGTAGGCTTGCCTCAGTGCTAGTAACGGTCAGTAGGCTTGCCTCAGTGCAAGTAAGTGACAGTAGGCTTGCCTCAGTGCTAGTAAGGGGTAATAGGCTTGCCCCAGTGCTAGTAAAGGGCAGTAGGATTGTCTCAGTGCTAGTAAGGGTCGGTTGGCTTGCCTCAGCGCTAGTAAGGGGCATTAGGTTTGCCTTAGTGCTAGTAAAGGTCAGTAGGCTTGCCTCAGTGCTAGTAAGGTTCAGTAGGCTTGCTTCAATGCTAGTAAGGGGTACTAGGCTTGCCTCTGTGCTAGTAAGGATCAGTAGGCTTGCCTCAGTGGTAGTAAGGGGCAGTAGGCTTGCTTCAGTGCTAATAAGGGTCAGTAGGCTTGCCTCAGTTCTATTAAGGGGCAGTAGCCTTCCCTCAGTGCTAGTAACGGTCAGTAGGCTTTCTTCAGTGCTAGTAAGAAGCAGTAGGCTTGCTTCAGTGCTAGTAAAAGGCAGTAGGCTTGCCTCAGTGCTAGTAAGGATCAGTAGGCTTGCCTCAGTGTTAGTAAGGGGCAGTAGGCTTGCTTCAGTGCTAGTAAGGGTCAGTAGGCTTGCCTTCGTGCTATTAAGGGGCACTAGGCTTGCCTCAGTGCTAGTAACGGTCAGTAGGCTTGCTTCAGTGCTAGTAAGAAGCAGTAGGCTTGCTTCAGTGCTAGTAAAAGGCAGTAGGCTTGCCTCAGTGCTAGTAAGGGGCAGACGGCTTGCTTCAATTCTAGTAAGGGGCAGTAGGCTTGCCTCAGTGCTAGTAAGGGTCAGTAGGCTTGCCTCAGTGCTAGTAAGGGACAGTAGGCTTGCTTCAGTGCTAGTAAGGGGCAGTAGGCTTGCCTCAGTGCTAGTAAGGGGCAGTAAGATTGCCTCATTGCTAGTAAGGGGCAGTAGGCTTGCCTCAGTGCTGGTAAGGGGCAGTAGGCTTGCCTCAGTGCTAGTAAGGGGCAGTAGGCTTGCCTCAGTGCTAGTAAGGGGCAGTAGGCATGCTTCAGTGCTAGTAAGGTGCAGTAGGCTTGCCTCAGTGGTAGTAAGGGTCAGTAGGCTTGCCTCAGTGCTAGTAAGGGGCAGTAGGCTTGCTTCAGTGCTAGTAAGGGGCAGTAGGATTGCCTCAGGGCTAGTAAGGGGCAGTAGGCTTGCCTCAGTGCTAGTAAGGGGCAGTAGGCTTGCCTCATTGCTGTAAGGGTCAATAGGCTGCCTCAGTGCAGTAAGGGCAGTAGGCTTCCCTTCAGTGCTAGAAAGGGGGCAGTAGGCTTGCCTCAGTGCTAGTAAGGGGCAGTGGGCTTGTCTCAGTGCTAGTAAAAGGCAGTAGGCTTGCCTCAGTGCTAGTAAGGGGCAGACGGCTTGCTTCAATTCTAGTAAAGGGCAGTAGGCTTGCCTCAGTGCTAGTAAGGGTCATAGGCTTGCCTCGTGCTAGTAAGGGACAGAAAGGCTTGCTTCAGTGCTATAAGGGCAGTAGGCTTGCCTCAGTGCTAGTAAGGGGCAGTAAAGATTGCCTCATTGCTAGTAAGGGCAGTAGGCTTCCCTCGGGCTGAAAGGGGGCCCGTAGGCTTGCCTCAGTGCTAGTAAGGGGCAGTAGGATTGCCTAGGGCTAGTAAGGGCCATAGGCTTCCCTCAGTGCTAGAAAGGGGGCAGTAGGCTTGCCTCATTGCTGTAAGGGTCATAGGCTTTGCCTCAGTGCTAGTAAGGGGCAGTAGGCTTGCTTCAGTGCTAGTAAGGTGCAGTAGGCTTGCCTCAGTGCTAGTAAGGGGCAGTAGGCTTGCCTCAGTGCTAGTAAGGGGCAGTAGGCTTGCCTCATTGCTGGTAAGGGTCAATAGGCTTGCCTCAGTGCTAGTAAGGGGCAGTAGGCTTGCTTCAGTGCTAGTAAGGGGCAGTAGGCTTGCCTCAGTGCTAGTAAGGGGCAGTGGGCTTGCCTCAGTGGTAGTAAGGGTCAGTAGGCTTGCCTCAGTGCTAGTAAGGGGCAGTAGGCTTGCTTCAGTGCTAGTAAGGGGCAGTAGGATTGCCTCAGGGCTAGTAAGGGGCAGTAGGCTTGCCTCAGTGCTAGTAAGGGGCAGTAGGCTTGCCTCATTGCTGGTAAGGGTCAATAGGCTTGCCTCAGTGCTAGTAAGGGGCAGTAGGCTTGCTTCAGTGCTAGTAAGGGGCAGTAGGCTTGCCTCAGTGCTAGTAAGGGGCAGTGGGCTTGTCTCAGTGCTAGTAAGGGGCAGTAGGCTTGCCTCAGCGCTAGTAACTGTCAGAAGGTTGGGCTCAGTGCTAGAAAGGGGGCAGTAGACTTGCCTCAGTCTAGAAAGGGGGCAGTAGGCTTGCCTGGGTGCTAGTAAGGGGCAGTAGGCTTCCCTCAGTGCTAGTAAGGGGGCATAGCTTGCCTCAGTGCTAGAAAGGGGCAGTAGGCTTGCCTCAGTGCTAGTAAGGGGCAGTAGGCTTGCCTCAGTGCTAGTAAGGTCAGTAGGCTTGCCTCAGTGCTAGTAAGGGTCAGTAGGCTTGCCTCAGTGTTAGTAATCTTCAGTAGGCTTACCTCATTGCTGCTAAGGGGCAGTAGGCTTGCCTCAGTGCTAGTAAGGGGCAGTAGGCTTGCCTCAGTGCTTGTAAGGGTCAGTAGGCTTGCCTCAGTGCTAGTAAGGGTCAGTAGGCTTGCCTCAGTGTTAGTAAGAGGCAGTAGGCTTCCCCCATGCTAGAAGGGCATAGCTTGCCTCAGTGCTAGTAAGTATCAGTAGGCTTGCCTCAGTGCTAGTAAGGGTCATTAGGCTTGCCTCAGTACTGGTAAGGGCAGTAGGCTTGCCTCAGTGCTAGTAAGGGTCAGTAGGCTTGCCTCAGTACTAGTAAGGGGCAGTAGGCTTGCCTCAGTGCTAGTAAGGGTCAGTTTGCTTGCCTCAGTGCTAGTAAGTGTCAGTAGGCTTGCCTCAGTGCTAGTAAGGGTCAGTAGGCTTGCCTCAGTGCTGGTAAGGGTCAGTAGGCTTGCCTCAGTGCTAGAAAAGGGCAGTAGGCTTGCGTCAGTGCTAGTGAGGGTCAGTAGGCTTGCCTCAGTGCTAGTAAGGGGCAGTAGGCTTGCCTCAGTGCTTGTAAGGGGCAGTAGACTTGCCTCAGTGCTAGTAAAGGGCAGTAGGCCTGCCTTAGTGTTCCACTGTTCTTTAAGTATTTATTTTCTCATTGCCCACAGACAAGACTCGGATCGCTCTTGATACCATCAAGTGGGCTACCGACTACTTCTTCAAGTGTCACACTTCATCATATGAGCTCTGGGGCCAGGTAAACCATCTTTCTGTGGCTTGAGAATGCTATTAGTGTAGCGCCAGCGTAGAATTCCATCGTGAAGACTTATTAACATATCGGATACATTCTGTTGGATAGTTACATTGCGCTACTACCCGCAGTGTATGGGACATGGGACTGTGGGAACACTGAAAGTGTACAGTGTACAGCTACACCTTTTCTGTATGATCTTAGTGGGAATAAACACTAGGAATTATTCCCTGTGTACGTGATTATTCGATTGCGTACGTGATAATGAAATCAGTTCACCTGAGGATCTTAGAGGATGAGAAAGATGATAGGTATTATTTTATTTGTCATAGGTAAAATGTACATACGTACAAAAAAAGAATGAAATAACTGGAGTATATCAGGAGAGGGTTTCAGGGGTCAACGCCCCCCCCCCCGGTCCGGTCTGTGGCCAGCAAACTTTACGGATTCCGTTCTTTCTTTCCAGGTTGGAAACGGTAATGTTGATAACAGCTCTTGGGGCCGACCTGAAACCATGACCATGGAGCGACCTGCTTACAAGATTGATGAGAGTAACCCTGGTTAGTGAATTTTCGTACTGACTACCCTGGCTGGTCAGCTCGGGGTTCTGGTGACCCTGGCTGGTCAGCTCGGAGTTCTGTTGACCCTGGTTGGTCAGCTTGGGGTCCTGGTGACCCTGGCTGGTCAGCTCGGGGTTCTGGTGACCCTGGCTGGTCAGCTCGGGGCTCTGGTGACCCTGGCTGGTCAGCTCGGGGTTCTGGTGACTCTAGCTGGTGAGCTCGGGGTTCTGGTGACCCTGGCTGGTCAGCTCGGGGTTCTGGTGACTCTAGCTGGTGAGCTCGGGGTTCTGGTGACCCTGGCTGGTCAGCTCGGGGTTCTGGTGACTCTAGCTGGTGAGCTCGGGGTTCTGGTGACCCTGGCTGGTCAGCTCGGGGTTCTGTTGACCCTGGTTGGTCAGCTTGGGGTCCTGGTGACCCTGGCTGGTCAGCTCGGGGTTCTGGTGACCCTGGCTGGTCAGCTCGGGGCTCTGGTGACCCTGGCTGGTTAGCTCGGGGTTCTGGTGACCCTGGCTGGTCAGCTCGGGGTTCTGGTGACCCTGGCTGGTTAGCTCGGGGTTCTGGTGACCCTGGCTGGTCAGCTCGGGGTTCTGGTGAACCTGGCTGGTCAGCTGGGGGTTCTGGTAACTCTAGCTGGTCAACTCGGGGTTCTGGTGACCCTGGCTGGTCAGTTCGGGGTCCTGGTGACTCTAGCTGGTCAGCTCGGGGTTCTGGTGACCCTGGCTGGTCAGCTCGGGGTCCTGGTGACCCTGGCTGGTCAGCTCGGGATCCTGGTGACCCTGGCTGGTCAGCTCGGGATCCTGGTGACCCTGGCTGGTCAAGGATTGTCTTTCTGGTAATACTTCCACTGACAGGGTTAATAACACTACTCATTACTTTTTAATGGTAGAAAGTTCATTCGTCGGGAGATGGAAAAGCAGATACAAATGCCACACTACGAGTCTTAATTTACACGTTTCGCCCACACCCGTGCGATTATCAAGCACAAACAATCTCCGTTCGGGAGGGCGAGCTTGAACTTTCCCGAAAACTTCCCCAGGTAAAAACCCAAAATCTCTTCTTCCAGGAACAGAATTGGGCTGCCGAGGACTGCTGCTCTTGGCCGCCGCTCCATCTTTACATGGTGAGGCCCACCAGGGGTTGTTGTTCCCATTTCTCAAGCTTCCAGTCGGTGCTCGATGTTATCCCTCCGCTGCCGTTCCAAACCAGCCCGCGGTTTGCTGTATAGCCCACTAGAAGTTAACTACGTTTACGTGGGAAAATGTACATTAATGTAGCCACAAGGTGCGATACGAGCAGAGAATCTGAACGTAACTGCACTAATCAGTGACTGATTGTGTTTCAGAGTTACCTGAGAGGTATTGAGAGGTATTGAGGGGTATTGAGGGATAATGAGAGGTAATGAGAAGTATTCAGAGATACTGAGAGGCATTGCAGTGTTAATTACTGTCTTGGTCGAGTTAGTTTACCCAGGAACTCAATCCGAACCACTAAGGCAGATCTTTGCTCTCACTGTGTTCCATCTCGCCCGTCATAGACCCTTTCCTGCTGATTTGGGTCTTCTAACGCTTGACTAGAGTGTACTAACTAGCCATGGGTTTGAACCCCATCCGTTCCCTGATTTAACTAGGAAGGAATTGGCCATCCTCAGGGACGGTATCCCAGGCACCCACAGCCTGGTTGGTCAGACCGGCAACCGGGACGTTGGTCTGAGACCGGGAAAAAGGGAGCAGTGATCCCCGAAATCGACCCCCTGGGTCGATTTCGGGGGATCACTGCTCGGGGTAACCTCAAATAGATCACTGCTCGGGGTAACCTCAAATAGATCACTGCTCGGGGTAACCTCAAATAGATCACTGCTCGAGGTAACCTCAAATAGATCACTGCTCGGGGTAACCTCAAATAGATCACTGCTCGGGGTAACCTCAAATAGATCACTGCTCGGGGTAACCTCAAATAGATCACTGCTCGGGGTAACCTCATATAGATCACTGCTCGGAGTAACCTCAAATAGATCACTGCTCGAGGTAACCTCAAATAGATCACTGCTCGGGGTAACCTCAAATAGATCCGTAGCTATTGATGTCATTACTAGCGAATACCAAGAGCATAATAGAAATATGTTCTATTTGAGTAAGAATCCCTTGTAGTGGTTGAAAGTTCGTGTACTTCCCTTGCTACTTCCCTCGCTACTTCCCTCACTATTTTCATGTCTACTTCCCTCGCTACCTCATGTCTGCTTCCCTCGCTACCTCATTTCTACTTCCCTCGCTACCTCATGTCTGCTTCCCTCGCTACCTCATGTCTACTTCCCTCGCTACCTCATGTCTACTTCCCTCGCTACCTCATGTCTACTTCCCTCGCTACCTCATGTCTACTTCCCTAGCTACCTCATGTCTGCTTCCCTCGCTACCTCATGTCTACTTCCCTCGCTACTTCGCTACTTTTCTCGCCAGAAAACCGACAGTATCTACGCCACTTGGATGATGGATTTGGCGAAAGTGCTGTACGACTTTGCCGACAACTTCCGTGGTCACTACGACATGTCGATCCCCGACGCAAAGGATTGGTACCCGTAAGTTCAAATTCTAAATTCTAAATTCGTGTAGAACCGCTTAACCCACAGGGGTCAGCCAGTGCCTGGAAAAAAATTATTTATTATTATTATTATTATTATTATTATTATTATTATTATTATTATTATTATTTTTTTTTTTTTTTTTTTATTATTATACGGCTTTTTTTTTTGAATAGGTCGAGTATTTTTTTGCATTATTTTGACTAGCCTATGATTTCAAAGATGTTTTATTTTTTTTTAAATGTATATTTTCAACTTAATCTTCTAATCAGTTTCAATACATAAAATTCGGCCCAGTGGGAACTGATCATTTGTTTAATAACATAAAATTAAGATTCTTACACCTGAGAGGGCAGTTGTGAGGGTGTGAGTCCCCCACACCTGCCTCCTGACAAGGCGGGTGTAGAGACAGAGACTTTAGAAACCATCGGAAGAGCTAATAAGGTAAAAAAAATTATGGATTTTTTTCACATTTATAACTTATGAGAAACGAAGTGTACCCAGGCAACGCTGGATGATTTTACTACCAAACAGAATAAAACTTACCTCCTTTATTGCTGTAATAATGGAATACAAGACAGACAAGTTGATATCTTGGTGTCTTTATTTCCGTAATGTTCTCGTACACAATATACTTCTTCAGTCAAATACAGAAAGGTTACTGGACTGGTCACAGCACCTTGACCTACCTACTGTTTCGCTATCTCTGGTTTCAGTCACCTCTCTGTATTTGACTGACAAGACTTACCATGTTGTCACCTCTTTCATGAGAAGAAGAATCTGGTTCTCCCCGCAGTTCAACGAGCGGGTATGGTGACGAGCTGGTCTGGGCTGGTCTGTGGCTGTACAGAGCAACGGAAGATGCGTCCTACCTCACCCGCGCCAGGGGTCACTGGGACGAGTTCAGCCTGCAGTCATCCGAGGCTCAACTGTTCTACTGGGACGACAAGATGGCCGGAGTCTATGTGAGTCCTGCTCCATGATACACCATTACTGCTCGAAAAGTTACGGAAAAAGCTCTCATGGGAGCTACATTGAGCTTCATTAAGACATGGACCTAGAGCTAAGATTTTTTAATTGGCATACATAACAGACGTCATTTAAAAAAAATGTTAAAAAACTTTGAGATTCTTTGCATGTCTCCTCAAAATATTTGCTAGATTTTTAATGTGCATAGTTCTGGTGATGGTATTGTAGCTTCCCCTCCCTCACTTCCCCACCATAATAAGGCCTGAAAAATAAAACCATTTCATCCACTGCTTCTTCAGGCCTAGATTGAGACAATTTACTGATACACTCTTCTTGTGATTCCCACCAGGCGCTCTTCTGGTTGTTGGACGGTTCCCAGGACTATTTAGATCACCTCACTACCTACCTGGATTATTTAAAAAACACTGCCCTCTACACCCCAGAAGGATTGGTCTTCCTCGATGAGTCGGGCACGACCAGACATGCTGCTAATGCTGCCTTCATATCCCTCTTGGTCAGTTCTTTCTCTTTCTCTTTACACTGTTTCTTTTTTTTCTTTACCATCTCGGCGGTCTCTCATCAAGGTGACCCAAAAGAAGAAAGTGCTCACCATCATTCAAACAATAGCTGTCTCTCCAAAAGCGTGTAGAAATCACGACTTAAAAACCCTCTGAACTGCAACAGCCCCCACCCGTCCTTAAGACTGCAGGTACTGTACATCCCACCTTAAGTACTCATCTCTGACTGATTGGGTTACCCTGAGTCCCTTCATAAATATTGCCCTGCAAATATCAACAAACTAAGTTGTCCACCTAAATGATAAAACCTGTTCTTGTTTAAGGGCTGCTGCCATGTGAAGCTGTTGGTTATAATACTTCTACAGTTTAAGGGCTGCTGCCATATGAAGCCGTTGTTCACAATATTTCTGCAGTTTAAGGGCTGCTGCCATATGAAGCCGTTGTTCACAATACTTCTACAGTTTAAGGGCTGCTGCCATATGAATCCGTTGTTTACAATATTAAAGTGCAAACCTCAAAATAAATTAGAACTGTTAACCTAAAAACAAATCTAATTCTGTTACTGAATTCGACCAGGCTGCATAAAACAATCTTTAAAATAATTTTCATGGACTTTAATTTTTAAAGATTGCAACAGTGTCTATAAGATGATTAACTGCAAAGATACGAGTGGAAAATAATTTGTTTTGCAGCGGAGGCCTACTCAAAAAATGTAGATTTTTAGCAAATGTATCTTCTGCCAAGCATAGCTAAGTAAGGTCAGGAAACAGGACAAGTGTTTCCTGATGCGGGTCTTAGTCATATAATGACCAACAGCTGGAGCTTTTGGTCATCTGACCAAAAACTTCTGCTGGCTTACAGGTCCACCCCTTTTAAAAATTAAGGTTATGGTTAGAGCCGTTAGATTACCCGCTATATCTCTCTTCTTTTTCAAGGCTGCCAAATACGGTGTGGACACATCTCTGAACAACCAGTGGGGTCAGGCTCAGATGGACCAGTTGCTGGGTGCCAACTCTCGCTACAACATGTCCTTCGTTGTGGGCTTCGGTGACAACTATCCTCAGAGACCTCACCACCGCTCCAGGTACACACACACACACACACACACACACACACACACACACACACGGGGCCAGGAGCTGAGTCTCGACCCCTGCAACCACAATTAGGTGAGTACACACACACACACAACACACACACACACACACACACACACACACACACACACACACACACACACACACACACACACACACACACACACATACAAAGACGGGATGTTCCAGAGATGGGACACAGACACAAGAGGTCACAATTGGAAGTTGAAGACTCAGATGAATCAAAGGGATGTTAGGAAGTATTTCTTCAGTCATAGAGTAGTCAGGCCATGGAATAGCCTAGAAAGTGATGTGGTGGAGGCAGGAACCATACATAGTTTTAAGGCGAGGTATGATAGAGCTCATGGGGCAGGGAGAGGACCTAGTAGCAATCAGCGAAGAGGCGGGGCCAGGAGCTGTGACTCGACCCCTGCAACCACAAATAGGTGAGTACACACACACACACACACACACACACACACACACATAAAACGATGTTTCTGTACGTCTTAAATAAGATTGCTTAGGAACAGGTACATACATAGTGTAAATTACATAGGATAACCCAAAACAGTTAGATAAAGTGATTAATTTCCTTTGGGGTCTTCGTATTTCCATTGGGGTCCACGTATTTCCATTGGGGTTCTCGTATTTCCATTGGGGTCCTCGTATTTCCATTGGGGTCCTCGTATTTCCATTGGGGTCCTCGTATTTCCATTGGGGTCCTCGTATTTCCATTGGGGTCCTCGTATTTCCATTGGGGTCCTCGTATTTCCATTGGGGTCCTCGTATTTCCATTGGGGTCCTTGTATTTCCACTGGGGTCCTCGTATTTCCATTGGGGTCCTCGTATTTCCATTGGGGTCCTCGTATTTCCATTGGGGTCCTTGTATTTCCATTGGGGTCCTTGTATTTCCACTGGGGTCCTCGTATTTCCATTGGGGTCTTCGTATTTCCATTGGGGTCCACGTATTTCCATTGGGGTTCTCGTATTTCCATTGGGGTCCTCGTATTTCCATTGGGGTCCTTGTATTTCCATTGGGGTCCTTGTATTTCCACTGGGGTCCTCGTATTTCCATTGGGGTCCTCGTATTTCCATTGGGGTCCTCGTATTTCCATTGGGGTCCTCGTATTTCCATTGGGGTCCTTGTATTTCCATTGGGGTCCTCGTATTTCCACTGGGGTCCTCGTATTTCCACTGGGGTCCTTGTAATATCTTATTATTTAAACCTTAGAAGTTAAAACGTCTAAACAACTCAACAGTGTGAAAATGAGTTCCAATAGAAGGTAATATACATTTACAGCTTCGTTCCCGCATTCTGTCCGTGAGGACTGAAGTCAGCCGAGACAAGAATGCATTACTGACACAAAACTTAGAGTTTTCTAATGTGATCTCTTTCTCTCTCTCTGATCTCCAGCTCGTGTCCCGACCCCCCTGAGGACTGCGACTACGGCTGGGCTTACACCCAGTCTGGACCGAACCCCCACACTTTGTACGGTGCCTTGGTCAGTGGACCATCTCTGGTTAGTAGTCTCATCCGGTCAGTGGACCACAGTGGGTCAGAGACCTTTCCTGAATCAGTTATAACTATTTTACTCGTCATTGACAGATTTTGTTTATCTATTGGCCTTTTACTTCCAATACTCTATTATTATTATTAGCGTAAGTTAGTTAGTTTAATATGTTTATTATGCACCCCATACCCATCCTGTGGGCGGTAGTCAAAAAATTACAGAGGTACATAATTGGTCCTAAGAGACACTAAATTGCAGATTTGGAAAAAATTTGTATCAATAACTTTTCCCTTATGCAACAGGTATTTTAAAGTCAATAGGAATTGAGATTGTATAGGCAGGTGTAAGAGATTGGGTGCTAGGTCAGGTGCTAGGAGAGGTCGGGTACTAATAGGGGTTAGGTGCTAGAAGAGGTCGGGTACTAATAGAGGTCAGGTGCTAGAAGAGGTCGGGTACTAATAGGGGTTAGGTGCGAGGAGAGGTCGGGTAGTAATAGGGGTTAGGTGCTAGGAGAGGTCGGGTAGTAATAGGAGTTAGGTGCTAGGAGAGGTCAGATGCGGTGATATTGTTTCTGATAGTTTATGGATGTTTTGTGTTTTGCAATTTACATTCTGCAAAACTGACTGAAGAACGTAGGATATTGCATTTTCACGAATAACTCCCTGATCCATCGGGAGGCCTGGTCATGGACCGGGCCGCGGGGGCGTTGATCCCCGGAATAACCTCCAGGTAACCTCCAGGTAGGAGTGAAACCAAGATGGTGAACACTATCTAGGCTGAGGGACTGATTACCACGTTTTATATTGTCTCCAGTTTGGCGAAACGTCTTCAGAATAAAGATACCCAGGTGTTGCGCATGTCTTAGTCATTAATTATCTTAGACACTGTTATGTTCGTTATTATGATTTGTAAAATCTTAATAACGCGATTGCAAATAAATCACAAACCTGCGAGTTATGAGACGCTTGCCATAGGTTCGAATCCCACCTGTTCTGTGATTTACGCTCATCTAGGAATTCAGGACTACAAGTTCTGTAGCCACTTAAAAAAAAAAACTCGATTAGGATGCCTCTCTTAGTGCCATGATGTGGCCAGAAGTATATGAGGATATTGTTTTCTTTTGGTTTATGGTACACCAGAGAAGGATGAGGAATTTGTAGACTAAAGTGTGAAAGCATTAACAAATAGGATTTTACATCCATCTTACTGATAAGCGCATCTGTCTTACTGATAAGCGCATCTGTCTTACTGATAAGCGCATCTGTCTTACTGATAAGCGCATCTGTCTTACTGATAAGCGCATCTGTCTTACTGATAAGCGCATCTGTCTTACTGATAAGCGCATCTGTCTTACTGATAAGCGCATCTGTCTTACTGATAAGCGCATCTGTCTTACTGATAAGCGCATCTGTCTTACTGATAAGCGCATCTGTCTTATTGATAAGCGCATCTGTCTTACTGATAAGCGCATGTCTTACTGATAAGCGCATCTGTCTTACTGATAAGTGCATCTGTCTTACTGATAAGCGCATCTGTCTTACTGATAAGTGCATCTGTCTTACTGATAAGCACATCTTACTGGTAAGCGCATCTGTCTTACTGATAAGCGCATCTGTCTTACTGATAAGCACATCTGTCTTACTGGTAAGTGCATCTGTCTTACTGATAAGCGCATCTGTCTTACTGATAAGTGCATCTGTCTTACTGATAAGCGCATCTGTCTTACTGATAAGCGCATCTGTCTTACTGATAAGCGCATCTGTCTTACTGATAAGCGCATCTGTCTTACTGATAAGCACATCTGTCTTACTGATAAGCGCATCTGTCTTACTGATAAGTGCATCTGTCTTACTGATAAGCGCATCTGTCTTACTGATAAGCACATCTGTCTTACTGATAAGCGCATCTGTCTTACTGATAAGCGCATCTGTCTTACTGATAAGCACATCTGTCTTACTGATAAGCACATCTGTCTTACTGATAAGCGCATCTGTCTTACTGATAAGCGCATCTGTCTTACTGATAAGCACATCTGTCTTACTGATAAGCACATCTGTCTTACTGATAAGCACATCTGTCTTACTGATAAGCACATCTGTCTTACTGATAAGCACATCTGTCTTACTGATAAGCACATCTGTCTTACTGATAAGCACATCTGTCTTAC